ACGAGGAGGACGAGGAGGAGGAGACGGGGATGAGTATGAAGGGGGCTGGCCGCTTATTTGGCTCCTGGGCCTGGGCGGGGTCTTCTGCGACAGCAGGCTCACGACCTCTGCGGAAAGAGAGATGGGGAGTGAGAAATGGAGAGTGAGAGAGAGAGAGAGAGAGAGAGATAGAGGTATAGGAAGCAAGAAGGCCGCGGGGCAGGGAAAGGAGAGAGGGAAGGATGAGAGGCATCTGTTGTGGTTTGGCTCGCGGGGGCTGCGGCCAGCTGTCCTGCCCGGGCCTGGTTGCCCCCTGGGTGCCGCGGACTGCCCTCCCCCCTCCGCGAGAGACACACACACACACATACACACATACACACGCACACACACACACTCACGCACACGCACACGCACACACACACACGCACGCACGCACACACGCATACACCCACACACGCACGCACGCACACACTCACACACGCACACACACGCACACACGCACACACGCACGCACGCACGCACGCACGCACGCACGCACGCACGCACGCACGCACGCACACACACCACACACACACACACACACACACACCACACACACACCACACCACACACACACAAACACACACACACACCAACACACACACCCACACACACACCCACACACCCACACACCCAACACAACCCACACACCACAAACCCACACACCACCCACACACGCCACGCAACGCACCACACGCACACAACGCACACGCACACGCGCACACGCACACGCACACGCACACGCACACGCACACGCACACGCACACGCACACACACACGCACACGCACACGCACACGCACACGCACACGCACACGCGCACACGCACACGCTCACGCACATGCAGACGCACACGCACACGCACACGCACACGCACACGCACACGCACACGCACACGCGCACCACACACAGATGCAAACATACGCACACGCACGCACATGCACACACACAACACACACAGAGAACCGCACACACGCACGCACGCACGCACGCACATGCACACACAACACACAACACACACGCAACACACACACACACACAAACACGCATGCGCGCACGCACGCTCGCGCGCGTGCACACACGCACGCACGCACGCACGCACGCACACACAACCACACAACCACACACCCACAGCCACACCCACAACCACAACCACACCCACACCCACACCCACACCCTCACCCACACCCACACGCACACCCACACGCACACGCACACGCACACGCACACACACACACACATGCACACACACATGCACACACACACACGCACACACAATCACACACAAGCTCGAACACACACACACACACACACACGCACGCACGCACACACACACACACCGATGCGCACACACGTGTCCAGGCTGGCAGGGGGCTAGCGCCTGCCAAGCGTAGCTCAATTCGGGGCCGAGCACAGCCCGTATGAACCGTGGGTCTCCGAAACGAAGTACCCCCTGGCGCCGAGGCGAGCGGAGAAGATGCGAGGGGCGGTGACGGGGGCGAAACGCCCCGCGTCTGCGCCCATTGGCGTGAGGACGTCGGTATCTAGCAACACCGCATGCCGGGCACCCCCAACGTGGGTGGGCGCCGAACCGCGGAACAATTGCCAGGCGTCGTGCGGGGCACAGGGCAAACCTGCGGGGTGAAACGGGCCAGCGTAAGGCCAGCGGGAGGCCGTGGAGCGAGACTGCGGCCTCCCTCACGGCCGCCAAGTCGGCCGTGGGTGGTGCCGGGAGAGGCGGCCGACAAAGGGGCACCCACGCCGCCAGGGCACATTGGAGGCGCTGGGTGCGGGCATCGTGGCGCTCCGGAGCGCAGCGGTGAGCGCGCTGTGCTGGGCTGACAGGGCCGCCGTGGAGGCGGCCAGGGTCGAGGCCTGTGCCGTCGCCTATGGCGCCGAGGTGGCCCGCGGCGCGGTTAGGGTCAGCGACGGGGGCGCGGAGGTGAGCAGTGAGCGCCTGGCGGCGGTCGCTCCCGAGAGGAGCATAGTCCACAAATTAAAAGGATTTGGGATCCGCCGCGCGGGGGAGGCCTGGGGCGCAGCGTGCTCGGCTGGGGTCGGCGCCTGGCCCTGGTGTGCTGCTTGTGCTTGCCGGTGGGGTCGATGGGGCAAGGTCGGTCCCTGGTGGCCACTGCGTGGTGCCACGGGGGCCGCGGGGGGGGGGTCGGAGCGGTGGTGGCCTCAGGGCCAGCTGGGGCGTGGGCGTGGCCCGCACGTCCATGGGTGCCTTCGCGGTATGTGCGACCGCTCCGACGGCTCCTACATCAGCGGCGTGGCAACGTGACTGGTGGCACGGCCGCCTCCGCTGGCATCCGGTTGGCACCAGGGCGGGTGTGGCGGCTCGTCGTCTTCGCTGTCCAGGTAGCCACCAGGACCAAATGGGGTAGTGGTTCTCGTCGTCGTGTGGGGGGGCCGCGTGGGCTTCCTCCCAGAGGGCGTCTATGTCGGTTGAAACCCGCTCGGGGTGGGATTCAGCTGGTGTGGCACCACCTCCGCCCCTACAAAGAGGGTTCTGTCCCATGCGGCCGAGCTTAGCTGCGGGGTAGCCAGCCCTACAAGGAGAGAGAAAGAGAGAGAGAGAGAGAAAAAATAATAGTACGAGATATATAGAGAGAGAGAGAGAGAGAGAAAAAAAAAAACAACAACAAATCATAAAAACAAAAGGAGATAACACAGAAGCAAGCAAAGGAACGGGCGACAGGAAGGGGAACGAGGGAACGAGAGACGGACAGGGAAAAAGCACACGGGAGCGAAAACGAGGGAGGATAACAGGAGAAAGAGAGAGAGAGAGAGATAGCGAGAGAGAGAGAGGGAGAGAGATAGGGAGAGATCGCAACAGTTCGGACGACGGGTCGTCCAGGCCCCGGGCCGCACGTGCCAGGCAGACCTTCCTCGCATAGCAGGATGCGCCGCACACACACACACACACACACACACACGCACACACACACACACATACACACACATACACACACATACACACACACAGACACACACACACAGACACACAGACACACAGACACACAGACACACAGACACACAGACACACAGACACACAGACACACAGACACACAGACACACAGACACACAGACACACAGACACACAGACACACAGACACACAGACACACAAGACACACAAGACACACAGACACACAGACACACAGACACACAGACACACAGACACACAGACACACAGACACACAGACACACAGACACACAGACACACAGACACACACACACACACGTACACGTATATGTATGTATAATGTATTTAAATATAGAATATTATATGTTATGTATGTTATGTATAATATCTATATATATACATATTTATACATATCTAATATATATATTTATATATATGAGATAATCATATATGTAATATATAAATATATGATTAGGCGGCGGAGGGGGGGGGGGGGGGGGGGGCAAATCGGTGCCGTCATCCCCCATGGCCGTCCCCCCGAACCTTTGGGGGGTCACAGACCCCCTGGGACTGCACCGGGCCGCTTCCGAATTGCCCACGACAGGCCACGCGGGCCGTACAGATGGTCACGAAAGCCTGTAGAGGCCCCGAAGACGCCCAAGAGCGGCCGAAGAGGGCCCGTGAGGGCCCCAAGAGGGCCTTAAGAGGCAACAATATACAAATTTCCTTTGTAGAACGTGCATTTTCTGCATACCCGCTGCCTTCGTCTTCGCAGTGCCCCGGACGCCCCCTCGGAGCCCCAAGACAGCCCAAGAGAGACCCAAGAGGGCCTCAGACGGCCCAAAAGGGTCGGCCTGTGGGGCTCACGGAATCCCCCAAGACGGCCCAAGAGGCCCCGACGCCGGCCCAGGAGGCCCCCAATGACGGCCTCAGGGAGGCCCAAGAGGGCCTCGTTCGACATCATGTTCCCGGAAGCCTCTCCCGGAACATGATTTCCACCCTCCGAGGACGCCCAAGAGGCCCACAAGACAGCCTCAGCGAGGCCCCAGAGGGCCCGACATGGCTTGAAGATGGCCGAAGAGGGCCCCAAGGGCCTTCAAGAGGCAACAATCTACAAATTTCATTCTTAGAACGTGCATTTCTGGCATACTCGCTGGCTTCTTCTTCGCAGTGCCCCAGACGCCCCCTCGGAGCCCCAAGACAGCCCAAGAGAGACCCAAGAGGGCCCCAGACGGCCCAAAAGGGTCGGCCTGTGGGGCTCACGGAATCCCCCAAGACGGCCCAAAAGGTCCTGACGCCGGCCCAGGAGGCCCCCAATGACGGCCTCAGGGAGGCCCAAGAGGGCCTCGTTCGAAATCATTTTCCCGGAAGCCTCTCCGGGAACATGATTTCCACCCTCCGAGGGCCCACAAGACAGCCTCAGCGAGGCCCCAGAGGGCCCGACATGGCTTGAAGATGGCCGAAGAGGGCCCCAAGAGGGCCTTCAAGAGGCAATCATCGGCCCATTTTCCTGTCAGAACGTACATTTCCAGCATACTCGCTGGCTTCTTCTTCTTCGCAGTGCGAAAGACGCCCCCTCGGAGCCCCAAGACAGCCCAAGAGAGACCCAAGAGGGCCCCAGACGGCCCAAAAGGGTCGGCCTGTGGGGCTCACGGAATCCCCCAAGACGGCCCAAGAGGCCCCGACGCCGGCCCATGAGGCCCCCAATGACGGCCTCAGGGAGGCCCAAGAGGGCCTCGTTCGACATCATGTTCCCGGAAGCCTCTCTGGGAACATGACTTCCGGGCTCCCAGGGCCCCCTACTGGGCCCCAGGACAGCCTCAGCGAGCCTCCTCCTCCTCCTCCTCCTCCTCCTCCTCCTCCTCCATCTCCTCCTCCTCCTCCTCCTCCGCCTCCTCCTCCTCCTCCTCCTCCTCCGCCATCTCCTGCCTCCTCTCCTCCTCCTCCCTCTCCTCCCCCCTCCTCCTCTCTCTCCTCCTCCTCCTCTCCTCCATCCTTCCTCCTCCTCCTCTCACGCCAGCCTCCCTTCCCCCCCGCAGTCGCCCGGGCCCCTGCAGGATTGAGGTACCAAACGTGCCAGAGGTGCACGCTCGCCCGGTACACGCTCAAACGCTCACGCTGCTGGACCGCTTCAGCAGGAGCTCGGACTCGACTAGACGTAAGAGTGACCTTTCGACGGAGTGACCTTTGGTGCGGGCCCCAGGGTGTCCCCCGATCTCCGAACGCGAGGCCTCAGTGGCGTCTTGCGCGCTTGTGTGTTGGCGCCCCCCCGCGGCCCCCCAAAAGCCGCGCGCCAGAGGTCACTCTTACCAAGGGTCACTCTTGCGAGTAGTCGATCGGACCCACCTCCTCCCTCCAGCGCACATCCCTCTCGTGCTCCATGTCGTGCCCAGGGCCTGGCCGACATGGGTGGCCCTGCAGCACGCGCGACTTTCACGCTCGCGGTGCGTGTCATAATTGCCCGTTTCGATATGTCTCGCAAGATGTAAATATTCATATGTATATATAGGTGTATCTATATATATATATATACCTATACGACCACCCTGCGGGTGATCCGCTCGCTCTTGGGAACTTTACCCTTCGCCATTGGGCGCCTTGGTACCATCACCTTCCCCCGGGAACCTGCCCAACGGCGGCGAACGACGACGACGTTTTTTTTGTTTGAGGCCTCCTGAGGCCCCGCTCGTCGCCACGGCTTAAATCGCTTCGAAAAATTGCTCAACGGCGGACCCTCGGCGGTCGAGAACGACGCACCGCCATCGAAACTCATTTTTCCTTGCTATTTCGAGCTCGCGCCGACGTCCGAGGGCACCGCCAGCCGAGACAGGGCAAACGGCTGGAAAGCCGGCGAAAGCGCGCCTCATCTGATCAGGGAATACGGGGGCACTGGCAAAGCCTGGCGCAGCCCGTACCCCCTGCACTCACTTCTTGCTCGGCAAGGTGGCTTGGCTCTCCTCCGCGTTGTGCCGAGCGCCGGGCAGCGTCCGTGCGTGCCGTGCGCAGCGAGACGAGGCGGAGCTGCGACACTGGCAAATCTGGCGCGGGTGTCCGGCGCCAACCCGAGTCCCGCGACACATAAACATAATGCAAATCATTGTTGCCCATGTGAACAACGACGGTCGCGTTTTCTAGCCCATAAGATGGGATCGCCCACTGCACCAGTGTCGTCGGCGGAGTGCAGGGGATGACAGCGATGCGGGTGCCGAAGTCAAGATGGCCTCCAACATGGCTCAAGATAGCCCAAGATGCCTAAAGATGGCTCCTCCCAAAGAAGCCCCCCAAGATCCCCGAACCCCCAACTGGCCAACCCGAACCCCGAGTGGCCACAAAGATCTTTGGAAGCACAGGGACCTTGGTGCTGCCAGCAAGTTCGCTTTGAACTCTTCCCAGGTCAGCGGGCGCTGAGGATGGATCGCCACCGTGCCGGACAGGGAATGTTCGGAGTACCCGTATCGTTGCGCGAGTCTGCGCGAGCCTGGGTATGCTGCTTCTGTCCCTGGGGCTGGCAAAGCCTGGCCCTGGGACACAGGCAGGGCACGTCTGAGCGTGCGGGCGGCACCGGCCATGGGGGTGGCACCAGCCGAAGGTTGGAACGGACTCTCCGAAGGCAGAACCGCGATGGGCTGCGGTCCGACGGCGACAACGGCGGCACAGCATACAGCGCGGCATGACGATACAGCGCGGCACAGGGCCCCGGGAACGATTCAAGAGTTCCCAAGGGGACCAGAACCAACGAAATATAAGATTTTTCGTTCATGTGCAAGGGCGGGGCACTTGCACGACCACCCTTCGGGTGATTAGGAGGTGAGGGGGGGGGGGGGGGCAACATCGGATTCGATCGATCTCATTATCGATCTCACTATCGATCACACACGTCGCACTCGATCAATCTCACAATCGATATCGCTATCGATCTCACTATCGATCCCACTATCGATCACGCAATATATATATATATATATACATATCAGTATCTGTGCCGCCCCCGACTCTTCCGACACCGCATCTGTTCGTTACGCTGGCACTCCTGGATCGACCTCTCCCTCCCCAGGGTAGACTTGTCCTCCTGGGTCCTTTTTTTCCCCACGGGTTATGTTGGGCGTGTCCCCCTACAGGGGGATTTTCGACGAAACATAGACAATATTACAAAAAAATACCCCACAACGGGCAAAACATAGTCAGAAAATAGTCCCCCGGACATTTTTGGATTATGTTTGGATGATTATTGGGGTCTTCCTTATTTTTCGTCGAAAATTCCTTGTAGGGGGACATGCCCGATTTAAGGGTCGACTTGTCCTCCTGGGTCCTTTTTTACCCACGGCCGAGGCAGCCGAGGACCCGCCTGCGAAGGCCGAACACATCCAACGTTCAAGCGCCACGTTTTTTTTGCGCGGCGCCCTGACCAGAGGACCTTCCCCGTCCCTCAGTCGGGCCTGTCCCTCTACAGGGGGAATAATCAGAAATAGTAGAAAATAGCTCGGGGACGATTTTCCCACCATGCTCTTTCTATTTTGGGGCCATTTTTGGTGGCACTAAAAAAAACATGTTCGCCCCCAGTCCCCCCTGTAGGGGGACAGGCCCGACTTAACCCTATCCTCTGCCCCTGGTGGCGAGTCCACAGCAGGGTTTCCGGAGCAGGGGCCGCCCCGCCGCGCGTTGGGCCGACCAGCTCGCATCTCTGAGCGCTGAGCCCTCAGGGCGTGCCGCCGCGCGGGCGCTGCGCAGCACGTGCTCAGCGACCCTCGACCCTCTGCCCCTGGTGGCCGCAGGACCTCCTGAGCGGCAGCCGGCAGGAGTCCGACGAGGTCATCGACCAGGCCCTGCGCGCCGGCCCGCGTCGGCCCAGGCCTGCGCGCCCGACGGGGCGCGTGTGGGGCCACGGAGGGCCTCCGCGGCAGAGCGGCCTCGCTTTCGGGGCCTGTCTCGACCGTGTCGGGACGATCCGATAACTATGGGTTTGTGGAGGACGATCAATGGAGAGGAAAGCTTGTTGCCCAATCATTTCCAGGTGTCTAAAACATGTGCTACAACTAATCTAATAAGATCAAAAAAAACATGTGCTGAACATGTCCAGGGCATCTTCCTACATCTTAAATGCATGTTTAATTCGATGATAGGACTGTTCGGGTGTCCTTGGTCGTGGCATCCACAAAGATAGATTATGGTTGACCCGATCCGATTCGATTATGGTGTTCCGAAGCCCTGGCGCGTTCCCCGATTTACATGGCTTCCTGGTGCATCTTGGCGCAGCCGATCCGATTCGATTTCGGTTCCATGTCGGAGCGGCCCGATCCGACGCAAACTCCGATTCGAAACGATTTGCCGATTCGATATTGATGTATCTTGTCTCCCCATCAGCGCAACCATGGGCGGCTCGTGTTTGTATCCAAGACGCCTACGGCGAATCACTGCCGCCCCCTGCCTTTTTGGAAGCGCCTGCGTGGCCGAAAGTTGGGTTTGAGCTTGGCCAAGCTATCGGGCCACGCGTTCCCCGAGTGGGTTTCGAAAGCCTTCGGGGAACACGGAGTGGGGCGAGCTATCGGACCAGGTGGTTTCCGAGCTTTCGGGCCTCCTGGAGGACGTCTTGGAGGGGTCTTGGCCTGTCTTGGAGGCCTCTGGCAGGCCTTTTGGGCAGTCTAAGGCCATCTTCAGGCCATCTGGGGCCGTCTTGAGTGCATCTTTGGGCCATCTGCACCGTCCTGGAGACCTTCTTGGCCGCCTTGGAGGCATCTTAGAGGCCATCTTGGCCGTCTTGGAGGCAATCTTGGGCCTCTTGGGGGCCATCTTGGGCGTCTTGGGCTCTTCTTGGGGCCCTCTTGGGGGCCTCTTGGGCTGTCATGGGGCGCTCTTGGAGGCCTCTTGGGCGCTCTTGGGACGATGTTGGGGGCCTCTTAGGCCGCCTTGCAGCGCCGGCAAACCGAAAAGGCGATAACGCCCAAATCCTTCAAAAACCAATGGAACAACAAGTGTGTTTGCCTCTTGGGGAGCCTCTTGGAGGCCTCTTTGGGCGTCTTGGGGGCATCTTGGGCCGTCTTGAGTCCGTCGTGGGCGTCTCAGACAGATTGTGCGGCGATTCGGGGCCCCCGTTGGACCGTCTTGAGTGCCTCTTGGGCCCCCCTGGGCCCGACTATAAGGGCCCTCCTCGGGCCCACAGAGTAGCTCGACGAGCCGCGGCGCGCCCCAGGGGACACGCGGGAGACCACAGGTGTCTTGAGAACTTCGGGCCTGGGCACAGCATCCTCAGGATAGATAGGGGGCCACATGCGAACCCTGCCCCTACCCCCCACGATTTCTGAGGGGGAGGGTGGGGTTCACTCCGCTCGGGAGCTCCCGAGCGAAGTACCCACCCTCCCCCTCATATCGTGGTGGGTAGGGTAGGGATCGGCACGTGGCCCCTATTCCGACCTCCTCCTCCTCCCCTCCTCCCCTTCCTCCTCCTCCTCCTCCTCCTCACGCCCGCCTCCTCCTCCTCCCTCCTCCTGTCCTCCTACCTCGCCTTCCTCCTTCTCCTCCCCTCCCACCCCCCCCCCCCCCCCCCCCCTCCTCCCTCCTCCTCCTCTTCTCCTCCTCCTCTCCTAGCCTCCCCTCCCCCTCCCCCCTCCATCTCTCCCCACTATCCCCCTCCTGTTCCTCCTCCAATCCTTAGCCCGCCTTCCTCCTTCCTCCCTCCTCCTTCCTCACTCTCCTCTACCTACTCCTGCCCTTCCTCCCCTCCTCTTCTTCCTCCCCCTCTACCTTCCTTCCCCCTCCTCCTCCTCCTCTCATTAGCCTCTACACCTTCCTCCTCCTGATTCCCTTCCCATCCTCCTCAGGTACCTCCTCCTCCTCCTCCTCCTCCTCCTCCTCCCCCCTCCTCCTCTCCTCCTCCTCCTCCTCCTCCTCCTCCTCCTCACTACCTCCTCCTCCCTCCTCCTCCTCCTCCTCCTCCCCCCCCCCTTCCTCCTCCTCCTACCTCCTCCCCCCCCCTCCTCCTCCTCCTCCTCCTCCTCCTCCCCCTCCTCCTCAGGGGTTGAGCAGTGGACCTGGGGGCACTCCACGCCGTGCCACGGGGGCACGGCGGCGGATCGAAGCAGCACGACGTGTGCCTCTGGAACGCTCTGCCCGCTCTGTCCGCACGGACCGCCCCGGTCGCTCCCTCCACGCTCTGTGCGCTCCGGTCGCTCCGGCCGCTTCGTCCGCTCCGTCCCCGTCGGGCCGCTCGGCGGGCATGAGGATGGACAGTGGGAGGATAAGGGAGGACGATGATGATGGCCATGCTGAGGGTGGCGATGGCGATGGCGATGACAACGACGACGACGACGACCTCGACGACGACGACGAAATCGACGATGGCGACGACGACGACGACCTCGACGACGACGACAGCGACGACGACGATGACGACGAGCACCACGACGATGACGGCGACGACGGTGACGACAACCACGACGACGAGACACCGACGACGGTGATGATGTTGCTGCTGATGATACTGATGATGGATGATGAATGGTGATGTTGACGACGACGATGATAAGGACTATGACGATGCTGATGATAACGATGATCACGATGATCACGATGATGATGATGATGATGATGATGATGATGATGATGATGATGATGATGATGATGATGATGCTGATGCTGATGCTGATGCTGATGCTGATGATGATGATGCTGATGCTGATGCTGATGATGATGATGATGATGATGCTGATGATGATGAGGATGAGGATGAGGATGAGGATGATGACGAGGATGATGATGAGGATAAGGATGATGATGATGATGATGGGTTTGATGATGATGACGGTGATGGTGATGGGGATGGTGATGATGATGGTGACTTTGATAATGATGATGATGATTCCGAGTGAAGGGTCGTGACGGTCGTAGTGATGATGGTGATGTTGATGCTGATGATGATGATGATGATGGTGATGATGATGATGGTGGTCATCATCATTGTGGTGATGTCCAGGATGATGAATATGATGATGGTGTGATCACGTTGGTGATGATGGTGATATTGTTGATGCTGGTGATTATGATGATGGTGCTGGGGAGGAGGTGTTGCTGATGATGCTGATGGATGCTGCGATGGTGGCGATGCTGATGGCGAGGAATACGACGATGACGACGAGCACCACTTCAACAGCGACGACAGTGACGAGGAGATGACGACGATCATGATGCTGCTGCCGATCATCATCGATGATGATGATAAGGACGCTGAAGTTGATGTGGATGATAATGATGACGATGATGATGCTGATGATGATGATGAATTATGATGGCGATGACGATGATGAGGACGATGACGACGATGATGATGCTGATGATGCTGGTGATGATGCTACTGCTGCTGCTGCTGCTGCTGCTGCTGCTGCTGCTGATGATGATGATGATGATGATGATGATGATGATGATGATGATGATGATGGTGATTGAGGTGGTGGTGATTATGATGGCGAGGGTGCTCTCTCTTCTTCTCCTTCCTTTGGCGCGCTGCGGTCTTTGTAGCAGCTCGACCCAAATTCCCTCGCGCCCCCTCAGGCGCTCGCTCAGGCGTGCATTGAGAGACCGGACGATCTCCCGTGTCGAGGTCTACGAGCCGCGCCCTGCGAGCGGCTCGCAGGTCCACCCCTCCCCTCGCTCGCGGACCTCGGCGCCTCGTCTGCGGGGTCTCCGTGGTCCGTTGGGGCCGACCCCCGCCCGCGCCTGGCAGTGTCCCCCTCCTCCTCCTCGTCCCCCTCCTCCTCCTCGTCCCTCTCCTCCTCCTCGTCCCCCTCCTCCTCCTCCTCCTCGTCCTCCTCCAGGAAGACCTCCTTGCGGGCTGCGGGGGGCACGGCTCCGCCGCCTGCCCGGGGCTGGCGTCGGACCTGCGCCGCGGGGGTCGCTCCTCTGCTGCTCTCCTCGCCGGTGGCCCTGCTCGGTGCCACGGCCGTCTGCAGCCTCTGCTGGGGCTGCTTCATTGGAGCAGGGGCTCGACTGCAGAATTGATTCATTACCCCCAAATGGATTTTCTCGTCGAGTCCCTGCGAAATGCGTAGGACGTTCGTAGATCTACAAACATCCTACGTATGACTCGACGAGAACATCCATTCTGGGGCAAATCAATTCTGCAGACGATCCCGTACTCCACTCATCGGGACCCCGACGTCCCCCCCTGGTGGGGGCCGGGGTCGACTTGCGGGCCGTGGTCGGAGCCCCTGGGGTGGGCATGGTGGCAGCGCGCAGCGCGCCCTGGCCTGCGGCCCAGGGGTGTCTTACACAGCAGGTCTCCCAGGTCCCTAGGGCACCGTCTGGCGTGAATGGTTACCCGTATTCTCTGGCAGTGCCTTGTGTTTGGCCGCGCGCTCTGACAAGTGCAGGGGAGGGGAGGCCCACCGTCACCAGTCTCCCCTCCGGCGCCTCCCTCGCCCTCCTTCGATCCCTCGCGATCGCTAGCAATATGGTAGCAAGAGCGTCATGAGGGCCGCGGGGCGCTGGAGGTAGAGGAGGGCGACCAAGAGCCCACCCTTCCAGAGCACTGGCAGTCGACGATCAATGGAGAGGAAACATGTTGCCAAATAATCTCCAGATGTCCAAAGCATGTGTTAAACATGGTTTAAACATGTTACAGCCATGTTTATAACTTGTTTATAACATGTATCCGACATGTTAAACACATTTGTAATTCACTGACAGGATTGTTAGAGTGTCTATTGTCATGGCATCCACAACCAGAGCACCAGGAGGAGACGCAAGAGGGACACGGGCGCATGGAGAGACGCGGACGTCGCCGTGGACTTCCAGCGAGGCCCAGCCGGCGACCCATCCACAGGACGACCCG